TCCATTTCCAGGGCACATTGTTCTCACAAGGCAGTTTACACAAACACAAATTTAATAAACCTTACAACAAGAAGAGGTAGGTCAGTGTTGTTATCATGCCCATTCCCCAGTGCAGGGAGCAACAGAAGGCTCTGTCCTTCATCAAACATGCCATTCTAAGGGAGAAGGCAGCTACAGACAGTATCCTCTTCCATTTATAATCACCCCACATTCTTTCACAATTTCTGATTTTCTTTCATTGCGAAACATCCATCAATGAGGAGAAGATGGACTAGCTGCATTTATCAGCAGCATATCAAGTCCCCTGTCTGGAAGCACCCTAGAAAGGTCGTGACAGAGGCCAATTCTGAACCAGGGACTTTTGAGTTCTTAGTGGGACAGCTGGAGTCTGACCTTGGGGTCAATGTCTGGGGTCTGGCAGCCCATGGTGCATGTTTCTGGGTGTGTGCTCCACCCAGAGAGCAGCAGATGATGAGGCCCATTGGGTGGAAGAAACTCCACTTTATTCCTGTAGTCAAGAAGGTGCTGTGATTTCAGAAAGTTTAAATTGCAAAGCTGCACATGCTCAGAGCATTTATTATTATTATTAAAAAATTGAGTTGGCAACAGTTTTGCACCTGTTGCTGTGTTTCTACCATATGAGGAAAGTAGAAGCAGTTGTAAAACTTGAGGCTAGGAGGTGAAGAGAAATGTTAGCTCTGTGCTCTACAGCTCGAGTAAGACTCATGGCCATTTAAAGTGGGGTGGCATAAGATTAATACTAAGATCTGGTGAGTTGTAGTGTGGTGGTGAGAATGTTACACTGGAGACCAGGGAGACCTGGGTTGTAGTCCCCACTCAGCCATGCAGATCTTCGGCCAGTCATGGACTCTCAGCCTAATGTACCTGGCAGGGTATTGCTATGAGGATAAAACATGGAACTCTGTAAGATATCTTGGGTTCCTCATGAGAGGAAGAAAGGTGAGGTAGAAATGCAGTGTAACAACAACAACAAGCCACCAAGAAATCTTGCATTTAAAATTGCTTAGTTGCACCAAAGCAGCTCATACTTAGGGTAACAATTCCAACCATGGAAGAATAGAGGCAGCCACCCAGAGCAGCTAATTTGCGGTGTGATGCAAAGCATCACATGATTAATAATTTGATTTATTCTTCTTGTGCTTCTCCTCTCAGGCGAGCCACTTGTGAGCTTTTCTGCCCCAAGGGTCAAAATAACTTGGCCAACCTTGATTACGGGGAACCTTGACTTGAGACCTGGGTGTCATTTGCTGTTCTGTCTCAAGGTGGCCCTGAACATGACAAGGCTCTTCTACCCCAAAGAGTGGGAAGTTCAGAAGAGTCTTTGAAGGAGGAACCACAAAGAATTTTGTGACTTCTTCAAGATTAACAGGTTGGCACAAGCTTCCATGGATAACATCCTCAGCATTGAGGGCGTGAAGTGTCAAATATATCACTGCCGATTTGCAGTTGACACTTCGTAGAGCTGATGAAACGGGCAGTGTCCACAAATGCTTCTGCCAGCATAAATGTGTTTCTTTAAAAGCAGGCACAAGGTGACAGAAACCTCCTTGTGGCTTCTGCTGCAACAGACTAACACGGTGTCCTTTCTGGAAAATGTTATAAGGATGAGCTTGCTTTGGATGGGAACGTGCTGAGGTATCATTTTACCCTGACATTCTCCATTGGCAGATTGACAAGTTAAGGAAGCATGGCTGGAAAGTGGCCGACAGCACAGGTAGAAAATAGTCCCTGAAACAAAAAAATGGCAGAGCACTGCATCCAGGACTGAGATTCCCCAAGAAGATGCTTGCATCTATGTTAGGTCTTTGCATACAGTTCCAAGCAACCATCTCAAAAAGACCCTGCTCTGCACCCACATTTCCAGCCCCTGTGTTACCTTGTCAGAAACCTTGTCACATTTCCAGAAGTATTTTCCTGTGGGTTGACCTGTGCACATTTGTTTCAACCACAGTTTGTGACATTGCACAACATCATTACCTTGAGCATGTCTGTCAAGGCAACCAGTCTAAGCTTCCGATTTCCTGGATTTGTGGAGCTCGTACAAACTTGAGACAGCCTTAACTCTGGACTTAAGCCAGCTGGTCATTTTTAACCATTGAATTTTCTTGTGTGTATGTATGTGTTTTAAGGAAATTATTATAGTGTTTTGTATGCCCACCCCCCCTGAAAAAACAACACATGCACAAGTTATTAACTGACTGGGTATATATGCAAATGAATAATGAAGTCCCTGTATGTTCAGAGTAGCTTTCTTCTGAAGAAGCCTGCACAGGATTTCAGGGTAGGTTTTTCCTTTTCTTGTCAGTGATCAGTGAGAGTGATTTCTACAGCCTCAAGAATTACCTCACTGTAACCCTCCTGTACTGTCCGAAGGCTGACAGAAGCAGTGGAATTCAACAGACAGGAGTACGGGCATTGTTCTAGCTTCAGAGGGAGACTAGCATGCCCACCATCACTATCATTTTTAAACCACTGCTCAGAATTTGACCAAACCAATGGAAGGCACACTTCCTCAAAAGACCTGCATAAAGTAAATTGCTAGTTCCCCACAGAGTTTAAAAACCACATGTAATGTGCTAACCCACAGCTTGATGAAAAGCATAAAGGTGTCAACTTTCAGAATTTTTTGGCTTGGCAATTTTTATCAAAACAGTTTGAAATTTTGCCTGATTCTCGAACACCTCAGCTAGATTATGAATGCTAAGTGTCAAGTTATTGGTTCAACAAGGGTTATTTTTATAAGCAGTCAATTTTTGAGGGTTATGTGGGTCAAATCTTTAAAAAATTATGTTCATGTATTTTGATATATGAGATGGATCATCAAATTCAATTCCCCCTCCCCAGATTATGACCAGATTTGGTACCCAAGGTCAGCAAGTCTCTTTCTCTCCCCCTCTCCCTGGCAATAAAAATACAGTAATATTTAAAATGAAATGTTTGGGCTTTTTTTCATGATTTCCTGAATACTTGAAGGAGCGCCTTCTTCCCTATGTGCCTGCCTGCCCCTTGAGATCTGAGACAGAGATCCTTCTCTGTAAGCCCTCTTTGAAGGAAATTAGGATAGTACCTGGCGAAGGGCCTTTTTGCTGGTGGCGCCCCAACTTTGGAGCATGCTCCCCAGGGAGGTTTGCCTGGTGCCATCACTTTATTCTTTTTGGCTTCAGCTGAAAACCTTCTTATTTTCCCAACATTTTAACAGTTAATTGGTTTTATCTTTGATTTTATCATCAATGGTTGGATGCAGTGTGTTGTTTCTTAATATGTTGTTGTTTTTTGTTTTGTTTTTTTGTAAGCCACTCAGAGGCTTTAGTATTGGACAGCATATAAAAACTTTAAATAAATGAATAAATCCCAAGGCCCAAGGCAGCCATCGCACTGCACCCAGTGGTGGGGCCAGAACTGACTGAGTGGTCAGACTGGTAAAGAACATCTTGCATAGCATAGCATGACAGGAAGCTGGGCTAAAATCTCTCTGTTTCTTCCATGTGCTAGCTCTTTTATTTAAAAGGATTTAGAGGAATATTAATAAATTCACATTCTCCCTGAAGTGGTACAGTCCACTCTACTATCTCAGGACTCTTACCATCTTATCTTATTGTATGTGCAGAAAAGGCTTTGGTGTGTGTTCTAGTCTAGAGCATGCCTCATGAACCTCAAGATAAAAAGAATGAGAACCATTCAAGATGATGTGCATAAAAGGGATAAAATTACAAAAACGTTGCAATAAAAACTAAGTATTTGGAAAGCTGTCACAAAGGTCAGGATTTCTTCTAGGTCATTCCAGAGGGCAGGACATGGAATTACAGGCTCTACTTACAGAAAGCCCGATTCTGGCTGGACCTCAGGAAGAACTTCCTGACCGTTAGGGCAGTACAGCAATGGAGCCAATTCCCTAGGGAGGTTGTGGGCTGTCCCACATTGGGGGCATTCAAGAGGCAGTTGGACAGTCATCTGAGGGATGGTTTAACTGGAGTCCTGCAATGAGCAGGGGCCTGGACCCAATGGCCTTCTGCCCCCTTCCAACTCTATTATTCTATGATTCTAAGTTCAAAACCATAAGAATACTGCACAACACCAAAAAGCAGAGAAACTATGTATAGAAACTTTGCACAAATGGTTGGAATGTTAAACCAGGACTTGGGAAACCCAGTCTTTGTTCAGCTGAAGTTTATTGGGTGACAGCAGGCCAGTCACTGGCACTCAAGCTACTCTGGGTTATTGTGTAGATAAAATGGAGAGCAGCAGGATTATGCAAAGTGCCTCTGTCTCCTTCCAGAAAATGATGGGAGATAAATGAAAATGTGAGAGTTAGGAGGCTAATTTTGTGCACATCTCAAGTTATAAGGCAACAGGGCAGTGGGCACTTACCCTGAATAATTTATTGTGAAATTTAAAAAGTAACAAGAATCTTACAGTGCAACTCGATTAGTCTCTGCTAAGAAGTCCCACTGAATTCAGTGGGGTTTAGTCCCATGTTAAAAAAGACAGGATTGCAACCTAAGGAAGGTTTGTCAGATGTTGATAATAAAACCTTATTTACAGGTGGGGTGGCAAAATGTATTCTGCAGGTGCTTTTGTTCAAATGTGGCAGTCTTATCTTGTGTGTTAGAAAAGGAATAAAATAAAGAATGCGTGGCAGCAAAGCTTCGCTGTGATTTGATTTACAACAGTGGTCTGAATCTCGCTATGTGACATTTATACGAAATATATATTCCCCCCCACCCCCAAAACCTGTATCCTTTATTGCTGGCGGTCACTCAGCGCATACGCAGGAGCACGGTCGCTAGTCACATCACACCCCAGGCCAAGCAACGATCAGAAGAAGCAAGTCCACAAGAAACTGCTTTTTGCTCGACACCGATCTTTCATTTTCAGCACATCCCGTCCCATCCCGCCCTTCTTTTACAACTTCCCACCTTCGCCAGTGGGTGGCTCCCAGTTTGATGTCATTTCCCGTTGAGATCCCCCCCCCCCCTTCCCCGCTGCCTCCCCCTCCAGCTTGAGCCGGAAAATGAAGCAATACTCCGGCTGGATGTTTTTCTCAGGCTTTGGGAGGAGACGGTTCTTTTATTGATCTCCGGCGAGCTTTGACCGACTCCCCTGCCTCCGGGGCCTTCTCCTTGATTTGCACTTTTTAAATAATTTGTATCCAGCTTAGAAGTGAACCAGCTCTCATCCTATTAGCCGCGGAGAGCCCTCGATCGCATTCCAGGGAGGATTCAGTTGGGGGGGGGTCAGGGGAATGATGTCCAATGACACGAGCGAGAGGCCCCCCAACCCTGAGCCGCCCCCCGCGACTGTCTATGTCCTAGTGGAGGATCTACGCTCGACTGACGCCCTCCAGCTGCTCAGGTGAGTTCGAAGGCAGGGCTCCCCCCTGCAGGGGTGCAGGTACGACGGGGTGGATATGGGGCGGGACTGAGGATGAAGCGGATGGGTGTGAGTTGGTGTAGCCGTATTAGTACTAGGAGAGGACGGGGTGGGGGCTGTTGTATGTGTGAATGACATCCCAGTGTATATTTACACGACTGAATCCTTGTGCAAGAAGGGCGGAGATCCATAAGCTTTTTTTTGTTCAAACTTCTTGAGGCACATGGACAAGATCTTGGGGAGTACCTTGTATGTGCTGATCTGCTGTCAAAAGGTCGGCCTGTGTGTGCAGTCAATTGAAAGGGTGTTCTTATACACAGAAATAATGTGTCAAAGAGTAGCAACATGGGGAAGGATGTAGAGCACTGAATGCAGAGTCAGGACTTCTGATTATTTCTTCTCCCGTTCTTGCCTCAACCAAAACCAAAAAAACAAAAAAACAGGAAGAGGAATGTTGTCTTTTGGTTAGGGAAATAAAAGAGGAGGTTCTTTGAGATGTCTGTGCTCCAGTACTAGCTTCCTTATAGTTTTCTACATCTTTACTAATTGTACGACTTTAATCTATACTTAATTCTTTGTAACGTGCAGAATATTACTTTGGGTGTTGCTTTGTTTCTGCCATCTCTGGATTTAGTAGCAGAAGCCTGGGACATGGGAAGCAGTAACAGTGGTGAGAGAGGAAAAGGTGTCTCTGAACATGCACTAAGTGTATTTCTCTTGCCACTCTTTGCTTATACAGTTGCACCTGCAATGCATGGCTTCAAGAGGGTTGGCCATCATCTTAAGTAAGATGAATCATACCAAGAATATCCAAATTCTTCAGGGAATAGGAAATCCCCTAAAATAGAGATCCTGGCTGGGCAGGGACTTGAATCTTGGAACAGAGACACAAAAGCCCAGGCTTTCCCAGTTGCTAGTGTTTTTCCAGCCCCGCACTTTGAATTTGCAGAAAACAACAAAATGATATCTCTGCATTTAGGCTGGTGGAAATGATGGTTGTGGAAGAAAAGTGATTCAGTTTCCTTCAGTTTTGCTGACAGAAGTGTCTCCCTGTGTGTGCAGTTTTCACTTCTTGTTTTTTTTACTTTTTTAAAAATTCTGCTGATGTCAACTTTTACCTGAATCTCTGAGTACTAGTCTTGTGCTGTCTTGCACTGAGTACAAACCTTGGACTAATTTTAAAATCCCCTCCTTCTCCAAAGGCTCTCTGTCTCTGGGAAAAAAAAGCTGGACTTTTGCTGAGATATGCTGTCTTGGTGTACTTGGGTTTGAAAAACACACACCCATAGATTAAGGATTAGGGAGATACGATTTCTCTGTTCTAACAATAGTTCTATCAGTGGTCTATAATGATTAAAGCAAGAGAGCTAAATTTATCTGGAAGAGACAGAAACAGTTGTATTCTATCCCTTGGCTTTCTAATCTCAGGTCAAACATCTCCAAATAAGCCCCAGTAGTTTACACACACTCCTTGAACTGTAGCTGCATGGATGGGGAAATTATGGACTTGAATGTGTAAATTCATGGCATGATACGAGTAGATATTGATGTGGACCTATGATACCTGAAAGCTGGTATGGACCTCAGAAACTGGGTTCACTTCTGGCTTAGGCATAGCATGCCAATGCATGCATGTTTAGACCAAAAAAAAGTCTTAAGATTGCCTGGGGAACTCTAGGAGTTACAGACTATTTTTCTGTCTAGGCCTGCATAGAATATGTGATTAGTATATAGCTACTGATGAGACATTTTCCCAGCCTCAGTTTTATCCATCTGCAAAATGGAGATAATACCGTATTCAATCATATTTGATATCATCATTTCCTCTAATAGCAAACTTAAGGCACAATTTTATGCAAGTTTAGACAGCAAGCTTTTTCTGTCTAAACTTGTACAGGATTGTGCCCTTAAGTGGTCCAAATACCTATAGATGGGAAAGGAGATGGGGCTTCCCCTAAATAAGGTACACTTTTGGAATCCCCATGGTAGGCCAAAGTATCGATGTTGGAAAAGTGAAAAATACAGAGGTATCACTTGAGGGAGAAAAAGAAAGAAGAGGTGGGAGGAGGCAGGAAGAGGAACAAGCTCCACTGAACACACTGGGATGTCCTTCTGAATAAATAGGACCGGAAACTCTGCATGGCTGCCATCCTACACATACTTGCTTGGAAGCAAAGTCCCAGTCAATATTTAACAACTTCACATCAAATATGAAAAGGATATCCAAAAACCCAGTCCCCTGTATGTTTGGATGAGAGGAAGTCCTGCAAGTTCAGTGTGGCTTATTCATAAGCAAGTGTTTATGACTGCAGCTCTAAAGATTCAGCTGTATGCAGCACTACTGGTACAACATAAGCATACTGGTAATAATTACCAGTGCAATTCCCTTATTTACAAGTAAGCCTCACTCAGCTTAATGGGACTTAGCCCAAGGTAAGTAAGTATAGCAGTGCAGCCTAAAATAGTTATATAAAATAAAATACTGTATCCAACTGTACTCTTCTTCTTAATAATAATAATAATCAATAAGCCCCCATTACATTATTGCTTCCCAGATTTCCCTGCAAAGTTTGTAAATTATTTCTCTAGCCCAGGGTGCTTCGCTGGCGTATCCCTGTATGAATAACGTTGCCTCGGCAAGAAAAAAAATTCCCTTAAGAAGAGGAATCCAGGCGTGGCCCTTTTAAGGAGGTTCCCCATGGAGACTGGAACGAGGGAGTGCCTTCGAGGGAGCGGGGGCTAGAACGGGGGCTCAGTGCTGCCCCCTGGCCGCAACGCTGAGCAGCGCCGAGCAGTGCCTTCCCTCGGCTCTAAGCGTGTCATCCTTCCTCCGTGGGCGCGCTATTAATAGCTCCAAAACAAGGGCGCGTTTGTGGATGCGGCGCGGAGATTGCGTTTTTGTCGCATGGAGCGGGGCTCTTGGCTCACTTTGTGGAAAAGCAGATCGGGGTTCTGGCGCGCGGGTGGCTTCGGGTTTCCCTCTGCTCCGCTGCGCCTCACGCCACTCAGTGATGCCGGGTTCAAAACGCTTTTCCAAAATGGCCTGCTCCAGGAAATGCAGCAAGCGCTTTGCAGAGGCCTAACGTGCGGCAGGAAACTGGGGGCGCGCTTGGATCTCCGCGCGAGCCGAGCGGCCAGGAGGGTAGCCTGGGGTGCAAAGCCGTCCCCGCCCCGCCGCCCCGCCCCACTCCACTCCACTCTACTCCACGCCGCCTCCCCCCCGCTTGCCCGGAGCCCGGTTGCGGGCCAGGCAGGCTGGCCTGCGCGCGCACGCAGCAGGCAAACTAGGAAAAGTGGCTGGCTGGAGTGGAGGAGGAGGTGAGCGAGAGCTGGGCCCGATCATTAGGAAACTTCTTTCCCTCCATATCCGTCAGAAGAAATCGGAGAAGTAATACTCCGAGTTCAGGAGTTGTGGGTTGGGTTTCTCTTTCAAATTCTTTCTCAGCTCTCTGCCCTACACGCGCAGAAATTAATATGCGAAATGCTGTAGAGCAAACGACGTATTGTGAATCTTTGGATTTTATTTCTGTCTAATATCCGATTTATTTTTAGCGTGTGTCCCTCGATTCTTTAGCTAACATTTTTTCCCTTCAGAGGAAGATCCATTCATTTCAACCGACGTAAATGCTTCCTGGGATTGTGCCTTGGTAGTTTTACCGATCAGGAAGGCACGTGCCGGAGAAGGCTGCCAAAGGAGCACATCAGGAGAACATACGCGAAGCCTTTCAACTTCTGTAGAATGCTGTATAATGGTGGCTTTTGCTATTATTGTGCCAGTTCACTTGTTACAGAATTTAAGCCAGTTAATGGATTGATTGATTGATTGATTGATTGATTGGATTTATATCCTGTCCCATTAGCCAGAAAGACTCATAAGTTGGCTGAGGTGCTTGTTACCAAAACCTCAACATAGATGATATGATGTCATTTTCTGAGCTGCTGAAGGAAGTCTTGTGCTGGATCAACAACAGCCTAACCCATCTTGGCTGAAGATGCAGAGCCTTGTAGTACAGTTCTTACTGAGGGGACCAGATTAGAGAAGGCTGATCAGCAACAGTGAACAAATCCACATGACCATTTATTGCAAGAAACAAAAGCTGCCTTTAATACTTTTTTCATTCTTTGTTGGCAGCAATGATCATGCTGTAAAAAAATAATACTAAACACTGTGATGACTTCATTGATACCAATGACAGCTTGCATATTTAAACCATATTGTGGTTAGTGAATGTGAATAATGAATTTTTGTTTCAAAAATTGTATGTGTGATCATCGGCACAATTAACTTGTGGCAGGTGTCTCATTGAAAACAATATGTCAATTCCTGGTAAGAGTTTTTTGGATTAGCATATTACGGGAGTTTGTTGGATTCTCGGGTGTGCTCATATATTTGTTTTCATGTCTACATCTGTGCCAGAGAGGTAACCATGTTGGATTAGCATGTTCGAAGTTTGCATCAGAGTTCATTAAGTATTTCATACTTTTTGCATCTCTGGAATGAACTTTATAGATTAAGCACTAACATGGTGGGTTGCCATATGTGTGAATGCTATGTTAGGGAGACTGTAAACAGATGTTTTCAAAGGATGTAGGAGAGGTTGTGAAAGAACTGTGTTGCTGACTTGTTTGGAATATCAAGCTTCAAGGCTGCATTCAGGCTGGGCTAAATACTGTGGCAGCTGGGACTGCAACTTTGGAGTATCCACCATTTGCCCTTACAGCTGGTGTGGTTCTTTCCATGCTGACTGCAGCTCCCAAGTTGAAAGACCGACTCAGAGCTGGCATGAGCTTGGGGTGGCCTAGGAAAGGGAAGGACAGTCATACCAAGAGGAATCCTGGCTGTGTCTCAGCTCCTCCTCCTCATGAGTGGGGGTAAAACATTTAGAGTGCAATCCTGTTTGGCCTCACCTTCAGTGCATATAACCTTCTGATCTCAGAGATGTACAAACATCCAACATACGGTGCAGAATGTGATGCTGATTCTCATCACTGCCAAGCCTCACACCCTGTATTTCTCCTAGATGGCCAGTTTTGGCTGCTTAGATGATGTAGGAGGGAGGCAGGCTGGGTGTCCTTTGAATACAACATAGACTGTCAGCCCCAGCGAATAGGACCAGAGTGGAAAAGTAATGGGTTGCTGAAGGCCCTGATTTCATGACTGAGCTGAGATCTTGAACTGGAGAAATCAGTCTCACATCTGATGTGCTTTTTAATTGCTATACTATGCCTGCTTTCTCAAAGAAAGTAAATAAATGGATGAGCTTTTGCGGCCAACCACACAGACCTGTATGCTACAGACTATATTTTTCTAGGAGCCCATTAGGCACTGCTACCTTGTGCTAGCAGGACTTGTTGGTAAGAGATGAGAAAGACAGATAAATCTAGATCTAGATACCGAGTATGGGCATGTGTATAGGGCTATGTTTGGTTTGTCCTTCTGCGATGCACAAACTTGGGGTATTGGTGAAGCCCATTGATAAGGTGTTTCTGTAAGGAACTGGAGTTTTGGTTTCCTGTGCTAGATTGACAGATGGGTATTGTGTATCGCTGAAATTAATTGCATGGTTCAGTCAGTGAATCCTCTGAAGGTAGTCTGTGACTAACAACTTCATATGCACAGTATGACTAAGTGTAATTCATCTCATTTGATAGTCTTTCAGTTTCATATTCCAGCAAAGCACGGGACCTGCAACAAAATGTTGCAGTGTGGAGGATTAGGATCTCAGCCAGCCATGCCCCTTTCAAGGGAGGATCCTACATTTCATTCCCCCTTCTTTTAGCAGCCTTCGGGCATTCTGTGACCACAGAGCATACTTAGTCTTCTTTGGGTTGTTTTTGGACCTGTCCCCACTTAGGAATTTCCCACCTAATTTCAAGTTTTCCAAGCAGTCTCAGACCAAATTTTAATTTCTGCTGTGCAAGAGACAGATATTTTCTGTGTTGTAAACAAGCCAGGAGTTAGAAGCCAGGAGTTCTAAGCATTGTTTGCATGTTACTAAAAAGTAAGTTTTTGAGTTTTGAATTGGTTTGTGATATTTAAAAAATTAATGTCTTCTGTAATCATGTGCCAGAGTAATACTTCCTAAGTGTAGGCATGTTTTATTTAAGCTGTTAATTTTTCCAGAAATGTTAATTTTTCAAGAAATGTACATTCAGTTCTTTGGTGTAATACATTCTTCTGGATGCCCTGGATAGGAACCATAAATATTGGTGCAGCTGTCTTCTTTTGGTCTTTGTTTTGGCTTTTACAGCTTTTCTCCCCCAGTCCCTTTTACTATTGTTGGTGTGGCGCAGGCCACATGGCATGTACAGCTCTGATATCTTGCCCCCACTTTTCCATTAGTGTTTGCCACCTTAGGCCCATACTGCACCCTATCTCATGGGAAGGTTGGCCCTAACAGAAACAAAACGTAGGGGTGTCCTAGTTTGGCGACAGTGGCTGGAGTTGCAGTGTGAGTGTTATGATGCCAAGTAGGTGAGAGGCCATTGCAAACCCAATAGCTGTTTTTATACATAAGGACAAGTCATGGCAGGAATGGCATGTAGTTGTGTGTGAATACCAGAAGCAGGGTGAAACATGGAGTGTTTGGTTACTGTGGATCACCATGGAGAACTGACATGGTGTGTTCTAAGGTGTCCACATTTCAGCATGGCTTCTTGTGAGTTGTGAAGTGGTCATGCACACTTTCCCTGTTTTGACCAGCGAGCTCAGCAGGAAGAGAGGCCATTTTCTGCTGCCCTGTTTACCTAGCAGCACCTGAGTTGCTGGCAGAGAGGGCCCTGAAGGGCTGCCCCTGCACTCTCTGACTTTCCTCCCAGTGCACATTCCTGGCTGCCACACCACTGCCGTGTCCACTACTGGGCCAGTTGTCCACCTCATGTGCTACCTGGTTGCTTGCCCTCCTGCCCACCTCCTGGCTGGATTGTGTGCCCCAGACCCCACCTGGCTAGGCTGCTGAGATGTCTGCCTGCATGTTGCCTCATGAGGGCCCGCCTCTCACACAAGCTCGCCTGCTGTTCTCACGAGAGGCAAGGACTTGGGGACCCCATCAGAGCCTCACATGGGTGGCAGGCATGCATCCCCATCCAGAAATCCTTACACAAGAGGCAATCCCTTGTCATATTTGGACTACAAACCTGATTATTTCAGACAATTGGCCATGGTGGGTGTGGCTGATAGGACCTGTGATCCACATGAAGGTGAAGCAAGGGAAACAGTGTGTCAGAACTGAATCCTTTTGGGGTGTTTCTGATTCCTGGACTTCTTAGTGTTTTATATTGAATTGTCCGACGATCTGTTTCTAAATAGATGAACAGATCCTTATCTTTTATCAATGCCTTATCTTTTCTTCTTCACTTCCCCCGACTCCTGGGGGCCACATAATTACTTCAGAAGAGTAAATTAAGGGAATTGAATAACTCCACTCACTCTAGTCACTAAGATTGCCCTTAGTGATTATGCCACCTGGGAGAATTGGTGATGGTGGTGGCTGATACTCCTCTACTGAATTGAAAATCACCCTCTAATTCACTCCTGTGAAGTAAATACCTATCAATCTCACTATTGCCTACTTAATATATCTGATAGGGTTGGGGGGATAGGCAGTAGGTGAGCACATGTTTGCAAGCAGAATCTCCCAGCCCTCCCTGGAGATGCTCAGGACTGAAAACTCCTTGCCTGGAACCCTGGGGAGCTGCAGCTAGTCAGTTGTGTGGTCTGACACAGGCAGATTTTAAGCTTCCAAGATTTACTTTTTCAAAAAACACTTGAACCTCGAAGTCCACCAACTGGAGCTGGATGCTCAAGGCAGAAATATGCCTAGTGCAATTACAGGTTAGGGAACTGCGTCCACAGAGAGTTTCCACACACATTCTGATCCCCCTGCCATGATTTCAACAACATAATTGAGGAGTGGGGGGTTCCAACCAATTGCAAATCACATGGAGATGTGGCCGTAGTTCTTGATGTTCCAGCTAAGTGTGGAACATACATTAAAGAGCAAAATGGCCCAGTGGTTTGACTCTCCCTTGGAGAGCTTTTTGTGATGAAGTAGGCACTGTACTCTATGAAACTTCATCAGTTTTACATCTGATGAAGTGTACTCGGGTCCCCCAATGCCATAATACAGTTGTTATTCCTTTGGGTGCCGCTTTTTCATTTATTCATTCTTCGGCTTTGACTCTTAGAGCTGTGTACAATTTAGAAGATAACAGAGAGTAAATGTCAGAAATATGAAAAAGTAATAATTTGCAGAAGCATAAAAATCCAGCATAAAAATGCAGACAAAACAGTCTGGGCAGTTTTTTTTAAAAAAATCCTCTGACACTGGGAAGGAAAAAAACCCAAGATGGTGACAGGACAGTCTTTCTAGGAAGGGAGTTCTACAGAAAGAGTGCTACAGCTGAGAAAGCAGGTTTTTTTTTTTTTTTTTTAAATCAGCACCCTCCTACTGAGAATGGTGCGTGGGAAGTATGGGTCAGGGCTTCTGAAACGTCCCTTAATAATAGGTATATGAGGAAGCCCACGGTCCTTTTGGTACCCTATTCCAAGTCATTTAGGACCTTTATAGGTCAAAGCCAGCACTTTGTGCTAGGGAACTGAACAGGAACAGACTCCAAAAGTTCCATATGGCTGGATCCAGTCAATAATTATGTTTCTGTATAGAGGCTCATTGTACATTAGTTTTAAGGGACTCCAGGATTCCTGTCCTTTTCCCCATTGGTGTGTCTCCTGCACACTACAGTTTCTTTGATAATGGTGGTGAGTCATGCATAAACATGCAGCAGGCAGTAAGAGCACTGAGGCACAAGCAACAGTGCGGCTGAACCAGAAAGTCTCTGTTTCAAATCTTGACTTTGCCACAGTCTCACCAAGTTGCAGGTGAAGCAACTTCTGCCAAAGTCCAGGGCCCTGCAGCTGGGAGCGGGCGAATGACTACCCAGAGCGCAGGTGCAGCAGGGCAGTACCAGGAAATTTCATTTAATTCCTGGGGCATAATGGTGCTACATCATCATCATTATTGCATTGCATGTATATCCCACCTGTTTTTTCCTTTCGGGAGGAATCCAAAGCAGCTGAAAAGCTCAATTTTATTTTCACAACAACAGCCCTGTGAGGTAGGTTGGCTTGAGAACCTGTGACTGGCCCAGGGTCATTCAGGGAGCTTAACAGCTGAATGAGGACTAGAACCTAGACCTCCTAGGTGCCCAGTCTGGCACAGTTACTGCAACAGCACTCTGGCTCTTTAGTGAGGGAGAGATTTAAGTAGGTTGAAAAGGACAAACTGCACATGCTCATAACATTTTGTTTTTAAACCAGAGTTGGCAAGTAGTTTTATTGTTCTAGCATCTCAAGAATGTAGAAGGAGTTGTAAGAGACGGAAATATGGTTGCAGGGGGTTGTAAAAGACATCTGTTAGTTGTGTGCTTCACAGCTGAAGTTGCACCAAACTCTCTAAAGCCTCCCTCCCCCAGTAAGACCATTAAGTTCATGGTCTAGAATCGCTCAGCAGCACTGCTGTCCTGGGCCCCCACAGCTGCAAAATGCAATAATAATACTCAGCTCCATCCCAGGGCTCTTTCCAGAAATAGTTGTAAGTGATGTTCTTTGAACCCTTGCAATTAAATGCTGAGGGTTATTATTGGAAACACTCTTGATCATTATTTAATGTGAAGATACATTCATGGTAATGTTTAGGGATGCTGTACTTCAGCCAAAGCAGAAGGGTGTTTCACTGCATTGTGTCAGGATGGCAGCAAAATCTGATATTTCGTCCATTCTTCCAGGCTCAGGCTCAGGCTCCAGCACAACCATTTTTTTCTGGTTGTAAAATTCTGTATTGTCCCTTAGCAGTGAGAGTGTTTTTTCCACTTCGTCATATTTGGCACGCTAGAAGAGAAACTCTCTCCATTTTTAGCCGCTCACCTGTCGCACCGATCACACAGCTCCTCCTTTGTGGTTCAGGAACGTCCTCTTCACTCCTCTTTTGTTCTGTCTTAAATCTTTGGTTGCCAGTTTGGTGTGAGGTTTAACTTTTTTTTCTCCAGCTCTGTGCTTTGCTGGGATGAAGAGAAAGTAGTCAGCACCCCTCACGGCGACAGCTCCTTCTTCTCTGGCTCTGTTTTGGCTCTCCTCTGCATTCATGGATGCTGCCACTGGGCAGGTATCACTCATTTCTTCCAAATCTTGCAGTGGTCCTCAGCTGCTACTGAGATGCAAGACCAGTACTGGGGAGTATGACATAGATGTTGAATTATGGTGGGTGATGACTATTCGGAGTGCCCTGGTTTGGAAATGAGGCATCCTGTGGAAACTGGTGGATTCAGATAGCAAGCTTGCTACTACATAGAATGATGTACAGGAAAGCCATATGGTGGGAATCCAGGGGAGCTAAAATCCTAAGAATTATGGTACAGCTCAGAGGCCAACTATTCTAGCACTTTGTTCTCAACAGTATCTAGGAAGCTTATGGGGGGGGGGGTTCCCCCTTTCTCCTGTCCCTGGCATTTTTTAATTCAAGGTAGATTGTTCCTGAATGTGGAGGCCTCTGCATTGGCTATTGTCACTGCAAGCTTTTATTAGATGAATTCATGACAGGCAGGCTTAATCTGTTTTGAAAGTCATCTGAGCTATTGTTCTTGCATCTTGTGACAATGAGAGGAACACCATAAGTCTGTGAAGAAGAAAAAGGCCTGCTTTTCATGATAACTATTATTGGAATGTGCGCGCGCGCGCGCGCACACACACACACACACACACACAATCTCCTGTTTTAGTGTTCTGAGCAGACTGTCTCTGTCTCTTTCCACACTCTTCATAATCTTGCAAGCTTATGCTAAGTTTAAAAGGGCCAATATGTGGCTGTCCAGATATTGTTGAAATGAAGCTCCATGGCCAGCATAGCCAATGGTGAGGGGAGATGGGAGTTTCAGTTCAACAACTTCTAAAGGGCCCTGTGTTCTCCAGTGCCAGCTTTAATATCCTACTTTTTTAAAAAATCCCAATAGATGTCATTTTTGGGGTGACTTTATAACTGCAGGCAAAAGTGTAAGACTAAAAATAAGTGTGGCTGTTAAAATGCAAAATCCTAACAGTCTTTGTTCTGGCTGGAGTTTTGCCTCAGAGGGTTGCAATCATTATTGTCTGTTTTTAGCTGTCTTTTTAATATTTTTCTGCTTTTATGATATTTTTATTGTACTTTTATCATTTGTTTTTATGGACTATGTAAACCACCCAGAGAGTGTTGAAATGGAATTAATAATAATCAGCATAAGAATGGCTTTCAGCTGTTAGCAAACCCAGGTAAATTAACTTTTAATTCCTTCTGAGGCTGTGCAAACCAAAAACATTTTCATAACCAGTGCTTTTTTTGTCATAGAATGCACCGGAATGGAGTTCCGGCACCTTTTTTCGACAGATTTTCCAAGTTTTAAAAGTAACTTTTGAAAATTTGATGTTTGGTCCACGTGGATTCAAATCGCCCTGTAGCAGGTTGGCGGCAAAATCATTAAAATGGTGCATGCAGGCTGCTTGTGTGTCGAATCCAATGCATGCGTACTTCATCCGTGCTGGTTGTGATGGCGCTGCTCAGCTTGTGGCACTGCTCGGCTTGTGATTGGTCATGTTGTTGCGTGCTGAGTGCTTACTGCAGGCAGCAACCGTTATGTTTCGTTACACAACTGACATGTGTGGGTGTGTGTACAGTGATTGACTATGTGTGAAAGGTAAATATTTTCATGAGTTCCGGCACCGTTTTTCTTACAAAAAAAGCACTGTTCATAACAATGGCAAGTCTATGGACTTTTCTCTGCAAATCAGTGGCTTGGCCTATTAACATTAAAAATCTTACCAAAGTTTCAGCTTTCCCTCAATGGATTTTTGTTTTGTTTGCTGGAGGCTTTAGTTTAGAACTTTAGCTTTAAAATGAGACCAAGGTTATCTGAATCGAACCTTGCTTTGTGCCTTCTTTTCAGAGCTTTTTTTGCGGGCACAAAGTCACCCCATCAAGCTATTTCTGTGGTGCATTTGGTATGATGTTGCCTCCCCAATCATTTTCTTTTTATAAAAAAAGTAAAAGAAACTGAAATTTGGGGACATTTTGGACCAGGCACTTTCTTTCAATGTCGTAGAAGAATAAGTCAGTAGGACTTTTTTTTGGGGGGGGGGGCTCTCCCATACCAGGGGCATTCAAGAGACAGTTGAACATCCATTTATCAAGCATGATTTAACTTGTGGTCCTGCATTGAGCCCAGGGTTGAACTGGATGGCCCTATTGGTCCTTTCCAACTCTACTGTTTTGTGTTTCTATGAAATTACAGAACAGAATGTATACCTGGGGTACTAAAGGTACCCCATAATACAGGATGAAGGGTATATCAATCTGTTCCATCTTCATAACAAAGATATTTGCCCTCTCCATATCATCTCAAGATTTTTTCTGCATATTTCCCCACTGTGTATTCATACTTTTAGAGATGGGTTATCTTGAACATGGATATACACTGGGTTTATGTAATGTCAATAAAATACCTGTTGTCTTATTTTCACTCTCTTTCTGAAGATTGCCTTTTGAATTTGCCTTTTTTTGGGCTTCTCTGAGGTGATGGCATCAATGAACTTTCCAGTCTTTCAGATCAAAATGGACTAGTTGCTTGAAATCTAAAGCTTAAGAACTGGCTGCTTGTTCCAAATGGCATGTGAAATGCTCAGGGCCAACTCTCCTATAAAGCAAAGAGAAGCAATTGCCTCAGGCAGCAGCAGCTGAGGGGTGGTAAAAGGTTGGGACAGAGAGCTGTGTGCCACTCAGCCTGTCTGTGCCCCCTAAGTTAGCTAGGCTGAAAGTTCTTCATCTGGGATTCTGAGGGGTGGGGGGGTGGGATGACATAATGTTCTTCACCTCAGGTACCAAAATGTCTGGGGTCAACTCTGGAAATTCTGCCCTTCTTGCCACACCATTCATGGCCACTATCATCAGGCATTTGTCCTCTCAAACATGCTTGGTCCCAGTGCTGTTGGGCAGCACCTTTGCTTATGCTAACTAGCAAAGCACTTGTGGGTGGGGAATTGTGGTAGGTGCCCAGTTATGGAAGGAGAGGCCCCATCCTTCAGAGCTCCTTGTGACCTGCTTTCTCCAGCCACTCCTTGCCTGTATTGGCAGTGGCCATTTTGCTACTAACGTACGTGCTGCATATTTCCTATTATAAACATTCCATGAACAGGATAGGAGAGTAGGACAACCTGTTGCCTTCCTGACCTTTTGCCTGCAAATGAATGCCCTTTATCCCGCATTATAGGCTATGCTGCCTCCTTTGCCCATCCTTATGGTAGGGCGAGTAGCACATGCATACAGCCTCTCCCAGCTTCCCCTTTCATTGCCTAAGTTCCTTGTCTTTTCTGCCCACTCCCTTAAGCCCCCTACTGCTCGGTTTCCTCTTTTTCAGCCTGCTCTGGAGTGCTGTCTCACTGTCTCTCTTCGCTTTTACACATCTGTCCAGGGAAAGTTTCTCCCCATTCTTAGCCTGCCCCACAAAGCTACTCCTACTTTCCCCAAGGGCCTGTGGGAGATTTTTATTCCAGCCAAATGGAAAATCCATCCTTCCCTCCCAAAAGCTAAAAATGTGGGTGGCATTACGAGCAATTGGAATGTTTAGGAATCTTCCATGACGTCATATGGCCAATTGGTGTTTGAAGCCTTTATTTCCACAAGCACAGCAATGGTCGCCCTGGACATGGGAGACGAGGGCTCTAGACCCCACCTGGCCATGGAGCTCACTGGGTGACTTTGGGCCAGTTGCTGATTTTCAAAGTAGACAGTCTTTGGTTGGTGTGAGGATAAAATCAAGAACAGGATTGTGTAACCCTTTTGGGTTCCTTGCAAGAAAAAGATGTGGGACAAATATAAGAAAAACAAAAAAACAATAAAGCTGCATTAGTTTAGATCCAAAGCTGGGATTTCTTCTTTTTCATTCTGATGTGCATGACTCTGCATTTTGTAAAAGTATCCAGTATGTGGCAAATTCTGTAATCACCAAGTTACTTTCTTCTCTTGGAGGTTTCTCTAAAATCTGATAGACAAGGGATCTATTTCCAGCCTTTCCACAACTGAATTCTTCTGCCTTCTTATCTCTACATGGCTGCAGAATATCACAGAACAATGTTTATCTGAACATGCCCAACATGTTATCAAAGACCATCATGCTCTGATTAGTTTAATCAGAGCTGCAGTAGTTTTACACTAGTTAAAGGCAAAGTGATTTTTTTAGTATTGTGCCATTGTTACAATGTTCTGTTCCCTATAAAGAATCAATATAATTTCCTTAATAATATAAAATTTTGATGTTAAAAATCTCTTTGTTAAGTTGTATAAGCAGATCAAATTTCAGAAAAATCATATGTAGACTGACTGTTACAGCAGTTTAGAAATTGTCTCCAGAGGAGCAGCATTCTCTGCCTCTGACTGTTGTGAGAACTGCTGGTAAATAACTTATCCCTTATGCATGGTATTGGCGCGCGTGCACACACAGACACAAATCCATATTTCTGAAGCATCAGACACCTTTCCCCCCAAATTCAGAAATGTGAGATAAGTGGGTGGCCAGGTGGATTGATCTAGATCAGCAAAATAAAAAGCTTTGCATCTATTTCCTGAATATCATGTACAAATCTGACTCTTAAATCCTGTTTAGTTTGCAACTAAATAAAATTTTGTTAACATGGCTTCATTTCTGCATGCAGGGTTTATATCTCATGGACCCAGTTTGCATGTTTCAGTTGATGGTACTTGCTGGTGTTGCTGGGTACCATTGGCCTATTTTCCTGCCCAGGTACTGCTTGCTATATCATCTGAACCCCAGTGGTATGGTTTGTTCAAGGAGGAAACCATCCTCAGACAGGCATGGCAACTTTGATTGTGCAAACAGGCCTGTTTTTTCACTTAATATATTTTGCCCACTTTCCTTTGTTACCTCTAGAGGGAATATCTTTAAAATACTCCAGCACAGAGTCTCTCATCTGACTAATACCTACAGGAGCATGGCTGGCTGGGGAACATTAGAAATCGTAGGAATTTTTTAGTCCAGGCAGCCATAGGATTGTGTCCTTCATCTTTACATGACTGAAACATAAGAAAATCCTATTTACATATAGAAAACATTCTAGAAAAATAATGTTAAAATCATTTTTTAAATCTGTGCCATTATATTGTCCTTTAAGTATTTCATCTCTCTTGCTTGGCACAGCTCCCTCACTACACCAATGCAGAAAAACGGTCTTAGCTAGCCCCAGTCTTTGCAAATGAGAAGCAAAAACGGGAATTTCAGAACTTTTCAAAAGCTGGTAGTTAGACTGAACCAAACCACCACCTTTCTCATATTATAATCCCACCTTTTTCTTCTTGTGAGGAACCCAAAGTGGCTTGCATAGTAGTCTTCACAGCAACCTTGTAAGGTAGGTTTAGCTGAGTGTCAGCAGCAGGTCCAGAGTCACTCAGAGAGTTTCTTCATGGCCAGGTGAGGACCAGATCTGGGGTCTCCTGAATCCCAGTCCAGCAATCCAACTGCTACAAGTAAAATTAATGCCCGTGTTTGCCAATGTAAATCAGTGTGAGAGACCCATTAATCTGTTTTCATGAGACTGTAAGTGTACATTCAGCATTTTTCAGATGAAATTTAATTATAATTTATATTTAAAAACAAGAAATTTAGTATTTACTTAAGATTATTTTAAAAATCCAATGTTTAAAAACCTGGTTTTATTTTTTTGACCATTTTTAATCTGCTCAAGTGATTGGATGGCTGTGCTTAGTATAGGGTTTCAACCTGTTATCTTGCAGAATGAAAAAGCCTATGTTTACCCCACACTGTCATCATTTGAGATGTGTTGCACTTGAAGGAGGAGATTTCATTCTTGAGTCCTGAATCTGCATCACTGAGAGCCATCATCCAGTTGCACTTACAGAACAAGAAACAGAATTAATCTTGCAGCATAGCAAGCCCTTAGTGACAACATGTGTCTCGTCTGCTCCTGCAATTACTTTGCATGGCAAAAGAAACTGTATGTACAATATAGGTACAATGGAGCTGCCGCTTATTTACACAGACCAGCGCTATAGAAACTTCACACACAACTCTCGTACAGGCAGGTTTGTGTAGGTCTACTTTCGTGAGACTTCCTTCAGCTCGCAAACTGGGTTGCGGGTTGCCATGGTTGTGGCCTGACTCACTTTCGGCAGTATCCGTGGCCTGTCATACTTCAGTATGAGTGCCACAACTGTTACACGTGTGCTTATTCTGCCTTCCAAGGGTGATGTACATGATCTGTCCCCACAATCCCCAGTGAGATAGTGACTGGTCCAGTGTCACCAAGTGAGTGTCTGAACTGAATGGGGGTTTGAACCCGGGTCTCAGGAGTCCTCGTGCAGCACTGTAATTATCGCACCATACCGCCTGGCTATATTCAAGCTGCCCTTGCCCAGCCCATAACATTGTATCCACTTGGCTGTGTGAAACTCCCACAGCTTGTTCTCCCTAGATACTCAGGATAGGGCAAGAAGAACCTGCATGGCTGTTTATTCAGAGTGTGGAAATAATTGTGAGGTAAAAGAAGATGCCAAGGAAGTCCAGGGGTGTCTCACTAATGAAGTCTGCTTTATTTCCTGAAGTATCTGTAGTGACTAACTACACTACGGGTTGGGGTCAACAATTAAAGGTTAACAATTAATAGGCATCCACTCTCAGGAAACAAGATGAAACACAATGGCAGCAGATAACAAAAACAGAAGTCGTCCTCCACCCCAAAAGTAGGCAGATGGGTGGTGAAACAGGATATGGCTCCTTTGCGGCACCAGCAAGACGAGCAAAATGAAAACCAGCATTCAGTTCAATCCCAGAAGCTTCTGTAAAAGGCCATGTTTTTCGCCTGGTGTTGGAGGCCGTAAGGATTGAACCACAATCCTGCTGAACTTCAATTGGTAGGGAAACAGAGCAGGCCCCTGATCCTGAGTCTCCTGGCATACATGAAAAGGAGATCCTTAAGGTACTCAGTGCCCCAAGACATGAGTGGTTTTCCAAATAAGAACTTGAGAGCAGAACCTGCTAACTAGTGATACTTGAGCAGGCCCATAAGAATGTAATCTTACTAACCTGATCCAGTCTAGTGGTGCCACTTTTTATCAATTTAAAAATGTGGGCACTTTTGAAGGGCACCACCATTGTGCCCTAGTATTCAAGCAAGCAGAGTTTGAAGGTTCTTAGGATGTGCATGATTATGGCAAGCCTACTTTCTCCAGGAATGGGCATGGTTGGTTTACTGGATGAGACTGATAAGTTCTGTGTCCTGCTATAGAGAGAGGGGCTTGGAGGGGTTGAGTCGCCGGGGATAACAGCCCTTGCAGTTCAAAAAGTCATTGTGACTCAGTCCTTATGTGCTTCTTCAAACAGCCTCAACTCTTTGCTCCCAGAGTCTGGTATCGTGGCCGACATTGACTTGGAAAATATCCTCTCACTGAACAGTGACAGCTTCTACGAACTCAAGAGCCAACCCATTGGTGTCAGGTAGGAATGCAAGATGGTAGCCATCTTGGAACTATTTTGTCAACCTGGGACTTCTCTGCATACCAGTTACCTGGTGATGGGGAGGTGCTTAGAATATTCCAGCTTCAGATGGGCTTCGTTGCATGATTTTGCTCAGTGATTTCCTCTTGTTTCTATGCAAGTTAGTAAGTAACAAAAGGATGATTTTCTCTCCAGTATGTCAAATATGAGATGGATTGATTTTATAACAGAAACTGCTGCCTTGAACTCAGAAGAACTGAGCTGGGTTGTCAAGGGCAGGACATTTTGAAGGGCGTTCATTCATATGGTTGCTTTAAGTTGGAGATTACTCGATGGTACATAATAACATGTTTTATCACATTCCTCTATAAAATATTTACCTAGTTTGTCTGTTCTGTGCTTCAAAGATGGTAGATGTAGCAACTAGTGCCTCGGTGTAGGGTTTTTCAGGCCTCAAAATATTTGCAGTCTTTCTGTTGCCCCTCATTGGTGCAATCCTATACGTATTTAGACAGCTCCTAGCATCCTTCCAACCAGTCATGTTGGCTGGAGCATGCTGGGCATTGTCGGAGGTTTTTTCCAGCTTAAACGCCCATGGAATTCCAGCCTTAGATAGGCCCTTTGCTTCTACTCGGAGGCCCCAGACCTGTATTCCATTTGATGGCTGTAGCCAAATGGAAAATGAAAGAGGTGAGGTGAGAGATTCAGTCGTGGTTTCCCTTAGCAGAGATGACGCGTACGTGTTGCACACAAGTAGAATTCAGAAATTGCATGACACTTCCATTGTCTCAGCAAACCTCATGAGGCTCGAAAGCTTACATTTTTTGAATTGGAGGGGACCTTCGGTTTAATTTGAGAATTCCCAGGCATTTCCCCCCAGCAAAGTAAGGTAAATACTGATTTTTCGTCAAGGTCTAAAATGCTCAGGGGAAGACTTGTGGTGACTTTGGAACCTGGATATTTTCCTAGCAGTTAGGATTCGAATCTGGTTCTTCATTTGCTTATCCATGCCTTATCCCTGTCATGCTCTGTTTCTGTCTGAGTCTTTCTGTAGCAAGCTCGTTCAGAGTATGGTGTGGCAGATAACACCTTGATATATTTTTTTCAAAGGAAGGAGCTGTCCCAGATTGCAGGGCACTGATTCCGCTGCAGGTTGCTGCGAACCTAGGCCCGTAGACAGGATATGGATGCTGCTGGTTGTTCTCTGAGCCATGTGAAACTTTGGACTTGCTAAGGCAGTCAGTCCTCCCATGCAGTGCAAACAAGGGAAAGGGAAGCAAACAACACAAGGGGAAATCCCATTCTCTCTGAATTCATTGCTGGCTGCTACATCCAGCCTCCTAAAGCACAAGACCTGCTACCAGAGTGGGCAACTTGCAGACCTCCAAATGTTTTAGTCTATACCTCTTGACAGCCTAAGCTGACAGAGGTAATACTGTAGGAACTGGGGGATCATAGGCCGAAACATCTGGCTTTGCCCACCCCAGTGCTCCTAGGTTCTCTGCCCTCGTTTCCCTGTGAAAGAGTATTCTCTAAACATTGAGAGGTCGTTGAGGCTCCATCGGTGCGGGTGTTCAAGGATAGGCTGGATGTGCACATGGTGGGCATGTCATGAGCTGAGCCGGCTGGTGCCGGAGGTCAGACTAGATGGCCCGGGAGGTCCCTTCTGACTCGCTCTGTTTCTATGTTTCTAAATTTAGAGTGAAGGCCTGCTTTCCTGTTGCCCATTTATCACACCTGAAATTTTTGGCTTTAGCAAAGCGTGGGAAAGGTCTTCTCCAAGCATCCTGGCTGGGAATGATTGTTGTTGGAGCCCAACATGTCTGGGGGAGTGGCGGGGTGGGGGGACCAGGGTGGCTCCAAAGTTCATTGGGCCAGTCACTGTCTCCCAGGCTGCCCTACCTCATAGGGCTCTTCTGAGGATAAAATGGAGGGTGGGGAAAGGGGCAACAGCCATGCATACCAGTTGGAGTGTCTTTGAGGAAAGGCAGGGAAAAGACCTCCCTCCCATTGGTGCCTCTTCCAAGCATGACCAGTGGGTCTCACAGAGTATCTTCCTTCACTCCCCATAGCCATCCCCTATGGCTATCAGACTCCTTCATGGATCACTGCCTTGTCATGGCAAAGGGGCTTGCATAGCTCAATGAAGCTATGAGCTATGCCATGCAGGGCCACCCAAGACAGACAAGTCATAGCAGAGAGCTCTGACAAAACGTGATCCACTGGAGAAGGAAATGGCAACCCACTCTACTATCTTTGCCATAAAACCCCCATGGACAGTACCAAAAGGCAAAAAGATATGACGCCGGAAGATGAGTCCCTCAGGTCGGAAGGTGTCCAATATGCTACTGGGGAAGAGTGGAGAGCTAGTACTAGTAGCACCAGAAAGAATGAAACGACTGGATCAAAGCTGAAAGGACTCTCAGTTGCAGATGTATCTGGTGGTGAAAGGAGAGTCTGATGCTGCAAAGATCTATACTCCATAGGAACCTGGAATGTAAGATCCATGAATCAAGGCAAGCTGGATGTGGTCAAACAAGAGATGACAAGACTGAACATCGACATCTTAGGAATCAGTAAACTAAAATGGACAGGAATGGGTGAATTTAATTCAGATGACCATCAGGTGTACTACTGCGGGCAAGAATCCCTCAGAAGAAATGGAGTAGCCTTCATAGCCAATAAAAGAGTGGGAAAAGCAGTACTGGGATACAATCTCCAAAATGACAGAATGATCTCAGTTCGAATCCAAGACAAACCATTCAACATCACAGTAGTCCAAGTCTATGCCCCAACCACTGGTGCTGAAGAGGCTGAAGTTGACCGGTTCTATGAAGGCCTACAACACCTTCTGGAATTAACACCAAAAAATGATGTCCTTATCATCCTGGGGGATTGGAATGCTAAAATAGGAAGCCAAAAGATAACCAGAATAACAGGCAAGTTTGGTCTTGGAGTACAAAATGAAGCAGGGCACAGGCTGGTAGAATTTTGCCAAGAGAATACGATGGTCATAGCAAACACTCTTTTCCAACAACCCAAGCGACGACTCTACACATGGACATCACCAGACGGTCAGCACAGAAATCAGATTGACTATGTGCTCTGCAGCCAAAGATGGAGAAGCTCTATACAGTCAGTAAAAACTAGACCAGGAGCTGACTGTGGCTCAGATCATGAGCTTCTTATTGCAAAATTTAGGCTTAAATGGAAGAAAGTAGGGAAAAGCACTAGGCCATTCAGGTATGACCTAAATCATATCCCTGATGAATATACAGTAGAGGTGACAAATAGATTTAAGGAATTAGATCTG